GAATCTTTCACGAGTTGCTTAATTTGTGACCCATCAAAAATTCCTGCTTTTTCATTACTTAATCCTGGAAACTTACGTGAAAAAAAATTGAAACATTCACTACTTTTGTCAAACGCCTTCACAAACTGTTTCATCATACCAAGTTTAAGTACCTATAAAGGTATTTAGATTTACTAGATTGTACCTCTCGTGATTTCAGTTGAGGTCGTTGAGCAGAAGGTATATTAGGATTACACGATTTCCAGGATTAATTCCATTTATTTTCACAACGCAGAAGTAGCAGTCGTCATGGTGATTTCGAGGTTCTCGCCAAATCATGGGTGCTACGAAATTGATTGCATCCCTTTTTCCATTGGACCACAATCGAAGACATACAACACATTTCTGGCATACAATATAAGGAACCCATGGCTTATCTTGATAGCACAGTTCTATTTGTATTGAAGATACGCAGTTTTCACGAAGTACGATATAGGTTTTCGATATTTTTCAAAAATATATTCACCATATATATAGCAAAAACAGTTTGGATTATGTAAACAACACCTTCTTGGGGAAGCCACATAAAAAAAAATAATATGTATTTTAATGACCGGCAAAATACAATAAACTAAACAAAATTGGTGAATGAGGGTAGTTAGCTATAACTCAAAAAGAAAAGCTGTTACAGAAAAATTGTTGCCATATTTGAAAAATATCCACCAAAATAAGTTAGAAACAAAAAAAAAATTACAGGAAACAAACAATTTTTTTTTCTTTTGTTGGCCAGTGTAATTTATTGTGGACTTTGCCAATTTTGATTGTCTTAACTATAGAGACTGGTGTCGTGCTTTGTGATTAACGTACAGTTTTCAACAAATATCAATGACACAGAGGTATCGATGTTCGGCTGTCATGCAGCCGGACCTGACGTCTGTGCTAAGTCGATGCTTTTTCTTTTTTCTTATTCAATTTGTGTTTATTAGGCTTTTACTAATATTGCAGTAGGAAAAAACAATGCTTGTAAACCTCTTTTCTTTTTTCTTTAATTTTTTTTTTATAACGTTAATTACGATTTTCGTCTCTTGACCAAGAATTTACACAGTATGGTTTTTTAATTTAATACGCACTTATAAGGTATAATAAATAATTATTTATAATTTTTATTTTAAAATAAAGGCTTGGTTTAAACAAAAACATTTTAACAGTGAGATACCTACCTATTTTATTTTAAATCTCAAAATATTCTGGTGAAGTCGTACATCTGTTGTAGATGTGTTACTTTTAAACATCATAGAAAGGTTTTTAAAATTGCCAATATATTTTTATTGCGCCTTTCTAAAGCGATTGCTTAGTCCTTATTCCTATGAGAATGTAATTGTCATATTTTAATGAGAAAACAATATCTGAACTTTAAAATCTTCGATCTCCAATAGAAATGATTGTTTAAGAGACGTTCTCTTCTCATCTTAAGTAGATACCAATTATGTAAAACAATAGAATTCGTTTGTAACTAGAACGTGACGAGAAAAAGGTAAGTAAATGTATGTTTTAAATGAGCACATACACTGCGAAAACATGAATGATGCAGATTTTATGACAATTTGCAGAAAAAGTGTTTAGAATTTTAGATTAACCTTCTGGTAAAGTTACATCATTTATTGATGGGCTATTTATTTTTGAAAGTGAGAGGGGCCGTTGAAGTATGTACGTTTCTATTTATGCTAAAATGTAGTTCTTATATAATGTAAAATGTCTACTGGAATTTCATTAATACGCGCATGGTGTATTTTTATTTGTTTTACAGTCACAATAAATGAATAGATAATTTTAATATGATTTTGAAAATTAGTTATTTTAGCATTTACAGATTAGTGCATAAAATTCTGTTCATTGATAAGATACCCTATTAGTTTTGAAACTGGTCAATCTTTCTTGAAACATTGTACTTCTTCTCCTTCCAAGAAGGAGCGTTTGTCAGTGCAGTTAGTTGCCATCAAGTTTGAAAAGTTTCTCCATGTAATTTCTACATTTGGAAATGTATTTTAAGTTTCGTATATGTTGCAATTTTGTCTCAAATCGACGATTAATGTCCTTGTACGAACTAAATTATTGTAATAATATATAAAGTATTGTTTGCAATAACACTCAATGATATGATAGACTCGTATATAATTGGTGGATGGGTCTGGTACAAAATAGGGAGCGTCCGATGTCTAATTTGAAGATGTAATACCCTAGCTCTGATTTTGTCGTGGAAAAAGTTCATCAATGTTTCGCAAATATTTAGAGAGACAGAATATATTGATGTTGATGAATTTATATACTTGGGATATTGGTTCTCAACAAAAAATAGCACAGAGGGTCAAGAAGGTTCGTGGGAAAAGTGCAGAATGTTACTTGGAGGGAGCAGGAAGAGATAGACGGGAGAATAAAATGTACCTGATGGAATCTTTAGTTAGAGTGGTAGCTTTCTATGGGCTTGAGGTTTGGCGATGGGGTAGGGTATATTGCTGAGGTAATGCGCAAGATAGGTATTGTAAAATAGTGTTAGGGGTTGCATGGAATACGCCCAAGTATATGTGGAGAAGAGAACTGAAGGTAGTATATTTAGAGGATGCGGTGAGGGTAAAGGTATTTAGATACTTGAAGGATATACTAGAAATGTCAAACGACAGGTGGCTGTTTAAGGGAGGAAATGAAGGCTATTTTGAACAATAGGCCTTCAAAATGGGGTCGGATGGTAAATAAACTATTGGTTAATATAGAGGCTACTGAGGTTTGTAGATTCATTTGGGAAGAAAGGAGAGTGAAGGGGATATATAATTTGGTCAAGGTAGTTTAGATAGGTAGTGGGCTATGAAATTATATAGGTAATGGGAAGTGATCATAGATTCATCGTTTAATACTTTGTACAAGCATTTGACGTCAGAGGGTTATGAGAATATATGAACCAGATAGTAAAAAAAAAGAGAGAATAAGGATGTGTGGGCAAGATTAAGATATGGGAATATATGTAGGAAGGGCTTTCAAAAAAGGATACAGGGATTGGACTGATGGAAGGGAGGAGACTGTGGCATATTTACTATGTTGTGGAAAGGCATTTAGAATACAGAGCGAAGGTATAAAAGTGTTTTGGAGGGAATGGAGAGGAAACCGCAGTGAGGATGTTGTAGATGCTTTCAGATGATAATCTTTTCATTTTTTTGGTATATTTATAAATTATAACCACCTGCACATTCATTTATTTACCTAATTTCTAAATTACGTAATATATATTACAGAGTCCATAAAAATGTAGACATTTACATATGTGTATCATTTTTAACTCGTTAACTATTGTGCAGTCATGTTTCTTTGGCGTTAACCTAGTGCTTAAAATAAGCAAATATGTAAGAAATTATATTCGGATATTACTCGTACATTCTCTCATAAAAAAAGAAACTGAAAATTTATGCTAATTAGTAGTAGTAATGCGATTTGTTTAAAATAATTGCATTTAAAATCCAGATACGAAACGTAAAATACATTTTTATTGTCTATTTTAAATGCCGTTTTCAGTATTTAAGGAAAAAAGTACACTATTAGCGCATTCTGATTGGGAAACCATCAAGTGACCCAACGTTACACAAACTTATACTGGGACAAAATGCAAATGTGTTAAACTAGTGAATTTTAAGCAATTGGTACCAACTTAATTTCTATTCTGCACAATGGATTTTTTATAGTTTTTCTTTTATCAGGCAAACAATTACTTTTAACTTATGAATAACTTATTAATCATACAGTCTTGCAAGCAATTAAAGTGTTCTAATGCTATAAAACATAATTCCTTTGTTTAAGTGGTAGTCATGAGTCAACGCACTTGCTCTTGAAGTGTGCAGATTTGTGTTTTAAGTCACGTTTGTTAGATAGCTCCCGATGCGTCCCTGACGTCTTTTATTAAATTATTATCATTATATAGTGCATTACGTATCGAGGGAAGAAACAGGGTGGCAATTCACATGCAGTCTGAGACCCTGTTTCTTCCCGAGGTACATATACTATTTTTTGTCATATTTATGCGGAAAGCTCGTCATTAAATTGATAGTTGGCGAAATAAGAGTAAATGATTTAGAGGTTAGAAAGACATTGCCATTGAACAACTGATTTCTGCGCATGCCCATAAACTTCAGCGCATGCGCTCAAAAGACTAATTTCATTTCCTCCCGACTAAAACACGGCTGAAAAGAGGCCATTTCTTTCCTATTTCATAGCACGCAAAACGAGCTTTCCGCGCTAACATGACCAAAAGATTTTACTTTATTTGCCATTTAATATTTAATACAATTTCTAATTTCAGAAAACATTAATAAAGCTTTTAATTTCTTTGTAATTTATTATTAAATGTAATTTCTAAACTCAGAAAAATGGTAGCAGTGGTTACTTTTTACTTTCAGATGCACAGTTATCCTCTTTAATACAGCTACCGGCAACCAAAGTCATATCATCAATTCATCTCGAAAAACAATAACCTCGTTATCCTTTTCCTCATGTGGAAGATATTTAGTTACGGGTACGTCTTTTACTAATTGTTGGGCAAATAAGAAATGTCCTTTATACAAACTTCCTTTAACAGGAGAATGCGGTCATCAACCTGCTGTCAGGGTATGGGACCTGCAGTCAGATCCTCAACCTGGCCCTCCTGGTATAGCTCCACAAGTTCAACAAGTTGCAGAATTTATTGGACACAAATATGGAATAAATTGTGTGGTAAATTTTATCCTACAATACGAGCAATAGTTATATGTCATAGATTTTTTGAAAATTGCTGCGACGATTTTGATGATATTCTCTGGAATGAGAATTCGATCTAGCAAAAAAACCGGGAAAGCCTGTTTTCATGCAGTTTTAATAGAAAGAATGAATCTAGGTCAACTTTATATATTGTGAAGCAATAAAAGTGGAACATTTTTTGTCCAAAAAATGGTCCCATTTTCGGGAAAATCGATTTCATCGTACACTTTTATTAATTTGACAAGTACCTTATTACTTGCTAAATTAATAGAATGTCAAATATGTCAGTGCTCAGTACAAAAATACCCATCGAATACCATCTATATTTCTGATGGATAGATGCTCGGCCAACATATTTGGAATTTACTGTATGCAAAAAAGAAAGTACGGTCAAAATCTGTTATAACGACACCGAAGGGAAGGGACTACTCATATTGGATCGTAAAAACCGATAGTCGTAATAGCCCGGTAACGTTGTTATTAAGTACTTAATAGCTATTATTGAATGTGTGATTAATATATTCATATATAAAATAAAACTACATTTTATTTATTTTACATAAAACCTATTATAAAAAGACATTACGTACATATCATTTTTCTATATTAATAAAATCTGGAATTTTAGTCTGTGTGGAACACTTCTGTCGTGCGTACAGACTTTGTAGTTCACGTTTAATTTTAATTAATGTATCATCATAATTTCCCTGCATATGAAACTGTTTATTAGAATAAAAAACAATTTTTCATAATACACTGACAGCATTGAGACCATCATTCAAAGTTGGCACTGTAAATTGTTCATCAGTCTCTTCCTGTTCGTCGTTTTCCTCTTGAACTTCTTGTACAATATCATCTTCCGTAGCTGGTGCTCAAACTGCAATAGAGTTATCTGCATCAGTAAACTCCTTAGCTTCAGTAGCAGATATTCTGAGAATTACAATAGACTCTAAACTCGACACGTTTTTGTTTATTTTTGCGATCTTAATGGTCATTTACTGTACCAGATGTGGATACTCTTACCTATTCAAATGTTTACAATACAGCTGGTCTTTCTAACAGACATAATTCTCCGAAAATATCAGATATCAGTTAAATGTAGTCGCTTAAAGAGATATGTCGTAATAAGCAATGTCGTAAAAACCAATGTTTTTTATAAGGCGGTCTAACAGAATTAAGCCGGGACCTATGATTTCAATATAACCGGTATGTTGTTCTAAACGATGTCGTAGTAAACGGTTTTGACTGTATTTATCACTGCTCCAAAGAAATTGTCCATAAAAAATAGTGGCTTTATGTTTATCATTATTACAAATTTAAACTTGGAAAATCAATCTTACTACATTTTATTGCTTTTAAGTTTACGTAGAAAGAATGCTAGAAAATCATTGAAATTTTTTACCATAAACAGGCATTAGGTAGGTATATGAATGTTCTATTTTTGAAATATCATTTTAGGCGTTTTCACCGACAAACAAGTATGTTGTCAGCATTGGTACCCAACATGACATGATAGTGAACGTATGGGATTGGCGAAACAATATAAAGGTAGCGAGTAACAAAGTCAGTACCAAGGTGAAAGCCATCGCTTTTGCCGAAAACGGTAGCTATTTTGTTACAGTAGGAAACAGGCATGTGAAATTCTGGTTCCTTGAATATGGAAATTCAAAGGTAATTTAATCTCACTACATTCTATTATTACCATTTCATACAATCACATGTTACACACAAGTGGCGAAGGTAATATATGTAGGTATAAACGGTATATCTTCTAGTTGAGAAATTAATAACAAATTATCCTTGCAAATGCGACTGTTAATAACAAAAATCATAATTACTGTAAAATTATTGAGAGATTGCATTTACTAACCCAAAAAGTACCAGCAATAGCATGGAAAATACCACGGATTTGTAGGCTGCATGCTTAAGTAGAGTGAACTCGTAGTTATAGCGAATGGACTTACTTCACAATTTAATTAAACGCGCAGTTTTTTTTTATTATCTATATCTTTAGTCGCAGATAAGTCAGGGCGGAAGGATTAGTAGGGATATAAAGCAGAGAATAGCGCAGGGTCGAGTCGCCTTCAAGAAAAATAAGTCACTTCCATGCTCGCGAACGGTTAACTTAGAAATTCGATAAAGATTGTTAAAGGGGTATGTTTGGAGCGCGACGCTGTAAGGGTGCGAAACATGGACGGTGGGCGCTGCGAAAAAGAAAAGGTTAGAAGCGTTCGAAATGTGGTGTTACAGGCGAATGATGAGGATACCGTGGATAGAAAAGATTAGAAATGAAGAGGTATTAGAAATAATAGGAGAACAGAGGGTTCTGCGGAAGTCAATAAGAAATAGGCGAGATAGGTTGTTAGGACACCTTCTCGGGCATGCAGGTCTAGTCAGAGACATATTAGAGACAGAAAGGGGAGTTAGGAGGGGTAGAGGTAGACCTGGATTAGATCACTGTCCGCAAGTAGTTAAAGATGTGGGATGTACTAGTTTCAGAGAAATGCGAAGATTAGCTCAGGATAGGAAGGAGTGGAGGTGCATGTCCAACCAGCCTTAGTATTAGCGACTTTATGATGACGATCTATATCTTTAATAATTTCAGTTTTCATGGTTTCTTTAGATATTTATGTGATTGGTGTACATACACAAACTGTTTGTATACATGCTGGACGTGTCTATACTGAGTATAATTTTTTAGTACAAAGAGGCAGTTCCTTTGATGGGCCGGTCAGCCATTTTAGGTGAACAACGAAACAATTATTTCTGTGATGTAGCATGTGGCAAAGCCCAATGTGGTGATAGTACTTACGCTATCACACGGTCGGGCCTGTTGTGTGAATTCAACAACAGACGACTCTTAGATAAATGGGTAGAATTAAGGGTAAGTGAAACCAAAAATTTACTTCAGAATACCTACACTTCGTTTGAAATACAGTCGAACCTGGGTAAGCGAGAATTCAAGGGACAAAATCGAACATAAACATGGTGCTAGAGCGTTAAGAAATGGGTGATACATAAATATATACACATTTGGCTATAAATTGATACTTATTTTATTTATTTAACTTTATCACTCCATGAAATCACTTTAATTTTTCGCTTCAATATTTTGAGGGAACAACGTCAAACGTACTTTCTCCAGTGATTGTTATCAACTGAAACGAAATGTTGATGATGAGTACTATGAGCAGGTAGGAACAAGTACACAAGTGTGCTACAGATGTCTTGTAATTCTATGAAAAACAGTGACGCTTTGACTTTCATTAGGTATTTGCAAAGAAGGTCCTGATTTGGCTTTGATTCGATTTGCGAGTTTTGAGAATTCCATGAAATATTGTTGTAAATAGCCTCGCTTACAGAGGTCTAGAGTAAGAAACTGTCACTTACATAGGTCTAGAAGTAAAAAATGACCCTCTCTAAAAGAGGTACTTATACTGTCACTCATAGAGGTTTTCAGGGCTAAAAATGAAGGGACCTGACTATTTTTGTCGTTTAAAGAGTTTTTTCACTTTTCCAGGTTCGACTGTGCACTGCAGCATTCGTAGGCACTAGTTTACATTTAGTTGAAATCATTTGATTAATAGGTTCGTTTATATCAGAACACTATAATATTCTCAATCTTAATAACGTGTTATTATAAATTATTTTCTAAGTACTTGACATCAAATATATGCAGATGTAAAATCATTTTTTTAGACTTCAAGTGCCAATTGTATAGCGGTAGGTGAAAATTATATTTTTGTTGGCTGTGCCGAGGGAATTGTGCGGTGCTTCGATCCTGCAACATTAAGGTTTATAACCACCCTTCCTAGAACTCATTATTTAGGTGTTGATGTCAGTCAAGGATTAAATATAAGGTGAATTTCCGTTCTGTTTTCATCTATTTTAAACCCAAATTAGTGGCGATCTTTTGTATATTTAAAAAAAAAAATTTTAATTCTACGAATATTTTTAGTCATATGTCTTCCCCTCCTTCAAATGCCAAATATCCAGACACTATAGCATGTACATTCGATGAGACTAGTAAAAAGCTTACTTGTATTTATAACGATCACTCTATTTACGTTTGGGATGTTCACAACATTAAAAGGGTAAGACAAGACATTGTTTCCAGTCACTTCCTTTCTAAAAGTATACCTTTCTCAGGTCGGAAAATCTTTTTCATTTTTGTATCATTCTGCGTGTATTTGGGGAGTGGAGATGGCCCCTCCAAACAGTCCTTTACCCCCAGGAAGCTTCCTTACTTGTAGCTCCGATGATACCATTAGGGTGTGGACATTAGATAAATTAACTGATAAAAACGCTAGGGGGATTTATCAAAAGAATATCTACAGTAATGTAAGTGCCTTTAAGATCTTATCCACGTTGTTAATGTATATTTTAAGCGGTATGATAACTTTAACTAATTTGGTATTAATTTTTTATTCCAGGAGCTCCTGAAAGTTGTTTACATAGACAGGCAATTAAATTATTTAAAAGACTTAGATTTATCGTTTTCAAATCCATCAAATGAGAAAAATGAAACTTCTTACGATGGCCGTAACGGTGTCCGATCCATCAGGATAAGTCCTGATGGGACACATTTAGCATCTGGCGATAGAACAGGTACTGAAAATTAACTGTACAAGAATGTGCGATTCATTAAATACTGATACTGGATTACCATTTATCTTGTATTAATGCGCATGATCAGGGCATTACAGCGGTTCATTACAAACTTTTAGGGAGTATACCAATAGAGCCCAAAAGTGATGAATGGTAGTCCATCTCCTCACTTGGTGCACGTTCTAATAAGATTCTACTTTAGTGTTTTACATCAAATTGTCCTTATTTCTAATAACATTTTAATGGATTATCTTTAGGCAATATTAGAATTCACGAAACATCGGAAATGAACACAATTTGTACAATCGAAGCCCATGATTCTGAAGTTCTATGCTTGGAGTACACGAATGTAGAAAAAGAGAAGTTTTTAGCCAGCGCAAGTCGTGATAGACTAATTCACGTATTCGATGTCAATAGAGTAAGAATTTTTGACGAATGTTTGTTTTGTCATTAATTTTTTTTCGCATTCCAGAACTATGATCTTTTGCAAACGTTAGATGATCATTCTTCTTCCATAACAGCAGTGAGATTTTTGAATTCAAGAGGAAACCTTCAAATGGTATCATGCGGGGCAGATAAGAGTCTTATCTTTAGATCTTTTTGTGAGGTAAATTTATTTTCTGATGTGAAGATGTATGACTTTGAATGCATAATACTTAATATTAATGTCAATATTCATTTTCGATTTTCCATCCACTACAAACTTCCTCAGGTTAATGGGGAAAAATATTTTTGTTGCTGTTGTCACACCCCCGCCGGAAATCGAACCCGGAAGTTTGTAGTGGATGGAAAATCGAAAATGAATTTTCACATTAATATTGCATATTAACCACTATCAGTAATTAAAAATGTCATAAACTTTCATTTTTTTTCTAATGTATGTTTTTTAGTCTCCTGAAGGAGTTACACATTTTACGAGAGACCAGAATGCGATAGGAAAAACTACATTCTTTGACATGGAAGTAGATGTTAATCAGAAACATGTCCTCACAGCTTGCCAGGATCGTAATGTAAGAATATATAGTGTTAGTACGGGGAAACACACTAGAATATTTAAGGGCACAACCGGAGACGATGGATCTCTGATTAAGGTAAGATAAAAATAATATATTTTATAAATTATGTTGTATATTGGATAATTGTTGTTTGAAGGTTGTTTTGGATCGGACTGGAATATACCTGGCAACCTCTTCCACGGATAAAAGTCTTTCGGTGTATGATTACTACACCGGAGAGTGCATGGCCACCATGTGTGGTCATTCAGAATTAGCTACTGGACTGAGGTTTACTAACGACTGTAGAAGATTGATATCAGCTGGTGGTGATGGGTAGGTGTTATAATATTAATTATTATCTGTACATTATCAGCATTTTCTATTTGTTTTGTTAAAGGTGCATTTTTGTTTGGCGAGTTCCCCACGATATGGTAGTATCCATGCATGCCAGACTAAGTCAGCAAGCAATGAGACAGGGTAAGACCCTGGATAATGAAATATTTACTGACAGTAGTAGTGTTGACTTTTACGATGCAAATGCAAATATGGACAGTGACTATAGGTAAAATAATGATTTAAATAAACATTTCTCAATACTTTAAAAAATTATTGTTCTTTTTGTAGGTTTAATGTTGGTGCTTTACCTTTATGGGCTAAAAAACATATGACAGACGATTCGAGTCCTCCATTGTCTTTAACGAAAGGAGTTGCAGCCCCTAAAGGTCGCTGGGCGCAAAGAGCCGAAAGGAATATTGAGATGAAGTCATTCTATACAGATTCTGTCATCTCTTTCTCATCTTTGCAAGGTGAATTTACAGGAATATTGAATAATTTAATTTTTTTCAGTAAATATGAAGTGAGTCATTATTATAGGGTTGTCAGTCTGGTTTCTTCACTCCTTCCTGTCCTTCGCATTTCATGTAATTTCCCTTTTCTTTATTAACTTCCTTAGCGTCTTTATTTCTAACCTTTGGTTTCGTGGTGTTTTCGTCATCTTCCTTAGCGTCCTTTTGCTTTACTGATTCCAATACTTCCTCATTCGTAATATTAGTTTCCGTGATGTTTTCATCATCCTCCTATAACACCATATCTCAAATACTTTTACTTTTTCGCTGCGCCCATTGTCCACGAAACACAACCGTACAGACATGCTCCAAAAACCACTCTAAAGCCTAGAAGCGATTTCTTTTTAGTAAAGGTGGCCCTACTTTGCGCTGTTTTTGGTTTACAAATATGTCTCTACCGCTTTTTCCATCCTAACTTATCTGACTTCCTAGATGAGGAAAATCATCAACTGGGTTTTCGTTTTTGTATCCAACCTAACCCTACATTCACCTCCCTGTTTTTCGTTTCAGTTTTATTTATTTTCACTTTATTTTACAAAAAATTGAAAGTTGTATTCTAACAGTTTTTTCATTTGTCAGAGAGGCGTGTTGATTCAGATGAAAAGGATAGTTCATTAGACAGTGGTACAGAAACAAGACATTACAGTGAACTGCATCGCGAAAGAAACATATCCAAACAGGTAACTTGATTAAGTAGAGAATTGGCTTAAGTTTTAGCATTATATAACAAGTTCACTCTATAATATTGTTTAACATTTTTTAATAATAGTAACGTTTATAATCCTTAAAACCTTAATTGGGAAAATGTTGCTTATTAAGGTGCTCCTTGTTTTAGGACGAATTTACTGCCACTAGAAATAGTTATAACGAAATTAACACTCAAACCACTAGACAGGTAAGAAGAGTAACCATTACAACACTAATTAATTAACTTTCAGTAACATAAAGCATATAAATTTTAATATATATATATATCTACAAATTTTGAGTAACAGGTATGTGTAATATTTTTTTTTATTACTTTAAGTCGATATCTGAAAGTATAACAATACCGAGAAATGATGCTAGAAGGAATATTCTTACTGATGATAGTGCAATTGGTGGTTCTGTAAGAGACACCGANTTAAGGTAAGATAAAAATAATATATTTTATAAATTATGTTGTATATTGGATAATTGTTGTTTGAAGGTTGTTTTGGATCGGACTGGAATATACCTGGCAACCTCTTCCACGGATAAAAGTCTTTCGGTGTATGATTACTACACCGGAGAGTGCATGGCCACCATGTGTGGTCATTCAGAATTAGCTACTGGACTGAGGTTTACTAACGACTGTAGAAGATTGATATCAGCTGGTGGTGATGGGTAGGTGTTATAATATTAATTATTATCTGTACATTATCAGCATTTTCTATTTGTTTTGTTAAAGGTGCATTTTTGTTTGGCGAGTTCCCCACGATATGGTAGTATCCATGCATGCCAGACTAAGTCAGCAAGCAATGAGACAGGGTAAGACCCTGGATAATGAAATATTTACTGACAGTAGTAGTGTTGACTTTTACGATGCAAATGCAAATATGGACAGTGACTATAGGTAAAATAATGATTTAAATAAACATTTCTCAATACTTTAAAAAATTATTGTTCTTTTTGTAGGTTTAATGTTGGTGCTTTACCTTTATGGGCTAAAAAACATATGACAGACGATTCGAGTCCTCCATTGTCTTTAACGAAAGGAGTTGCAGCCCCTAAAGGTCGCTGGGCGCAAAGAGCCGAAAGGAATATTGAGATGAAGTCATTCTATACAGATTCTGTCATCTCTTTCTCATCTTTGCAAGGTGAATTTACAGGAATATTGAATAATTTAATTTTTTTCAGTAAATATGAAGTGAGTCATTATTATAGGGTTGTCAGTCTGGTTTCTTCACTCCTTCCTGTCCTTCGCATTTCATGTAATTTCCCTTTTCTTTATTAACTTCCTTAGCGTCTTTATTTCTAACCTTTGGTTTCGTGGTGTTTTCGTCATCTTCCTTAGCGTCCTTTTGCTTTACTGATTCCAATACTTCCTCATTCGTAATATTAGTTTCCGTGATGTTTTCATCATCCTCCTATAACACCATATCTCAAATACTTTTACTTTTTCGCTGCGCCCATTGTCCACGAAACACAACCGTACAGACATGCTCCAAAAACCACTCTAAAGCCTAGAAGCGATTTCTTTTTAGTAAAGGTGGCCCTACTTTGCGCTGTTTTTGGTTTACAAATATGTCTCTACCGCTTTTTCCATCCTAACTTATCTGACTTCCTAGATGAGGAAAATCATCAACTGGGTTTTCGTTTTTGTATCCAACCTAACCCTACATTCACCTCCCTGTTTTTCGTTTCAGTTTTATTTATTTTCACTTTATTTTACAAAAAATTGAAAGTTGTATTCTAACAGTTTTTTCATTTGTCAGAGAGGCGTGTTGATTCAGATGAAAAGGATAGTTCATTAGACAGTGGTACAGAAACAAGACATTACAGTGAACTGCATCGCGAAAGAAACATATCCAAACAGGTAACTTGATTAAGTAGAGAATTGGCTTAAGTTTTAGCATTATATAACAAGTTCACTCTATAATATTGTTTAACATTTTTTAATAATAGTAACGTTTATAATCCTTAAAACCTTAATTGGGAAAATGTTGCTTATTAAGGTGCTCCTTGTTTTAGGACGAATTTACTGCCACTAGAAATAGTTATAACGAAATTAACACTCAAACCACTAGACAGGTAAGAAGAGTAACCATTACAACACTAATTAATTAACTTTCAGTAACATAAAGCATATAAATTTTAATATATATATATATCTACAAATTTTGAGTAACAGGTATGTGTAATATTTTTTTTTATTACTTTAAGTCGATATCTGAAAGTATAACAATACCGAGAAATGATGCTAGAAGGAATATTCTTACTGATGATAGTGCAATTGGTGGTTCTGTAAGAGACACCGATTTGGAATCTACTGCCCATGATGCTGATATTGATTCTGATCAAGAATATAAACATCAACCCATGTATTACCCTAGTCAAATCGACTCTGCAAGGTAATTTTTCAAACCCTTAGTAAATTCTTCTTACGCACATTATTTAGTATCTACCATTAGAATTTTGATCTAAAGCAACAGGTTTTTCTTGACAATTTATTATTTTTTTTGTAATATATTTTATTTTAAGTGGCAGCGAGTTCACGGTAACAAATATGGACGCTAATGAACTTAGAAAATCACAAAGGAAAGCAAAAAGAGCAAACTTGCCATCAATTTTTATTCAGCCGACTTCAATTTCAGGAAGTCAAGATTCCGACGAGGATGACGATGATGTAAATCACTTTGAAATTAATCAATATATCAATGCTTTTTAACTAATAACTATTATGTTGCAGGCATCAACTCCTAGTGGCGAAAATACGGACAGAAACCCCATGTCAATGTTATCAGTTAGTTCTGAATCGTTAGATCAAATAATTAATAGGGAAAAATATCTTCAATCGACATTTGAAAGTTTAAGCGGCGGAGATGTTGACAACACTCCAGGTAAGTTTGGAAATTTTTTTAGATTAAGATTTTAAATTGATAATGGTTACTTGTAGGTAATAAAGCTTCCATATCATCGCAATATTTAGGGAGAGGGGGTAATAGCACAGGTATGAAAAACATGATGGTAATAAATGCTACCAGAAAGACGAAAAACGATGTGGAAGCTGTTAAAAAAAGAGAGGAATTAGCTAAACGAATAGCAGACACACGAAAAAAATTGCAAAGCGTAAGTTGTACAGATCACATTCGGTAATTGTATAATTTTTAAAATATTTATCAGGTTCATTGCTCTTTAACATTGTTTTGAGTTGTACTTTAGTATTTAGAGCAACACTCACCAGCAAATGTAATACATCCATGAAAAACCCATGACTAGAGGAGCACAAAAATCAAAATTTAAGATGACGAAAACATAACCTCAACATTGTTGTCTTTTACTCATGGGTTTTCCAAAGAGGGATCAGTTATGTTGGTGGGCGCTCTCATTAATACTAAAGCACTGCCTAATTTCGTTACCAAAATTGCTGAAAAAGTTTCTTTTGTGCTAATATGGTACTGACACTAACTCATTTACTATTTTTAACGCAGGTCGGATTCAGTCCTTTAAAGTATAGTCAGTCGACACATGACCTGTCCCATATACCAGAAAAAGACAAGTGGAGTATGTCTGGCCGTAAGCAAGGTAATGCAAGCGATCCACCATTAGACATGTTACTTTGTTCAACTGTATATCATAACCCTGCTAACAATGATCATTGTGAATCTGGTTTTTGCACTAACACCCGTACTAATACCGTTAATGCATTTGCGTCCACATCAGGCGCACAAGATGATGTCAGCAATTCCGTTTCGAAAACCCCGTCGAGCATGCCCAGCTTACAACTGTGCGGATGTTACCTAAAAGAGCTCGACAAAAGCTTAAATTCCTACTCAACAAAACCGACTTCCGACAGGTCCGATAATTTTTCAGGTACTAACAATAACAACCGCAGTCCTAAGAAATCGAAAGGGGAGCAGCCGGTCCATCCCAGAAAATTGCAATTAGACAAGACATTCACTAAATATAGAATGCACAAAAGTTTACCAGTTTCTCCCGTTACAGAGGAGCGTAGTTTTCTTGATTATGTCCAAAGTAATACTGATCAAAGCGACTTTCATTCTAATAGAAAATCTTTTTCATATTTTATCGATTTTAATGACAGTAAAACGACCGACGAAGGTTTTCGACAAATATGTGACGATATTGAAAAGTTTTCCAGGGATTTCGTGCGTAAAAACGATCAGATGGATGCACTGGAACGTAACGAAGAATCCGGAGTTCATCCAGGTTCTTCTACTTACTCTACTAAAGCAAATCGTTATGCCGGCGAAACTGATGAAAATGACAGTTTCAGTTCCGATTCATTGGAAGACTATAGTTTCAGTTCAGCACGAGATGTGAAAAGGAAAAAATATAAACTGCCTCGAAGAAGTGTTTCAAACAATGAAATATATAAGTGCGTTGCTGAAAAGGATGAATCGTACAGCTGCCAAACTTGTGACTATGAATTTCCACAAAAAGAAAGTTTTTATTTAAATCCTAGCAACAAAAATTCCCAAGACAGTGTCCTGTCTGATGATCAACTTGATGGAAATGAACATTTCCCAAATACGCCAAATAAAAGTTGTTGCAATAGTTTAGAAAGCATTTTGTCGAATGATTCAGAATGTAAGTCAGCCCCTTTAGAGATTTTATTTGCTCCTTACAAAACCCAGAAGAAAAGAAACTATATTGAATCGGTAAGTAACTACATCAGATCATTACCACAAGAGATTCCAGTTGACAGAACTGGCAGTTTAGAGAACATGGGAGGCAGTTTGCCCAAAAATTACAATAGTTACTTATCAGAGAGCAGTTGTTTGGACGTTTCCAGTGATGTTTTCTGTCATACACTAAGTACATCAGCAGGTAATGAAGTTCCTAGAAGTCACAGTGTCGGTACTTGTCTGTCTGAATTTGAAGAGCAATACAAGGCATATAAATTCAAATCGAATTTGAAAACTTCACAAACTCAAACCGAATTCAATTTCGAAACACCACAAGAAATGGTAGCAAAGAAATGCAGTAGCATCGATTTTAAAGAAAAGCTACTCAAATTTGAAACGTGCATAGCTCAGAACAATGTCAAAAGCAAGTCAAAACTTTCTCCCAAAAAGGGAATAGCTTTCTTTGTCGATACTAGTCCTAATGCTGCCAAAAAACAGAGCCATAAAAATAAGGAAAACTGTGAAGTAACCAAAATAAACAATGCCAATTTAATGACTGACGCACAAAATAACACTGCTACAAATAAAATTTGTGCCATGTACATTCCGTCCTTAGAAACCAAAAATAAACAGTACGAGAGCAAGTTCTGCAATATTCTCAATAATAGGCCAGAATTCAATACCGAGCTGTTCGAATGTCCCGGGGACAAATCCATACAAAAGGTCGAAAATGTTCTTCACACGACCAGAAGTGAACCTCAAGAAACTACAAGCTTAGACCGTCATCTTTTTACAAAAAACGTTCTTGAAGATGACGGAGTAACTCACAAGCCTCCAAAAGCAGTACGTCGACATAGTTCAAAAATGAGAAAGAGCAAGACAACGTACGAATATGTAAAGAAAGAGGATTTGTACAAGATAAAGAAAATTAACAATATTGACAATTCAAAAAATGGTAACACTTTGAATAACAGTAGTAATAAAGAAAATATAACGTCATTAGAATTTACATACAAAGAGAAGAACGTGGAGGCTGAATGCGAAAATCACAATAGAGCAACCAGAAACGTTAGAGACTTCTATGATAGTTTGGATAGGTTTCAGATGGATACAAAGATGGAGCATGATTCTTTGGAAATCAATATTAATAAGTGCGAGAGTCAGGAAAATATTTTGGATAGTTTAGAATATGATGTAAAGAATGTCTGGGTACGTGATGGCAGTTCTAAAACAAATAAGGACCCTGCAATTCAGAAAAACGTTTGTAGTTCAAAAGTACAAAAGGCTTATTATGTTAATACAAACCCAAAAGGTCACAGTTCAGTTTGGAATGATGTCGAATTTTCAAAAGCATCTGAATGTTATCCAAGCATAGAACAGTTTGCTTTGGGAATGGATAAAATTCAATTTGCTATTGAGAATATCAAAATTCTAAATGAAATAAAAAGGAAGATCGACAAAATAAACACGCTTGTAGAAATATTTAAAGAAAATATGTATTCTGGAAAAGTAAGGGCACTATCCAGCATGTATGAATCATTAACTCATTCTGAAAACATTTACAACGATTTATCGAAAAGTTTTGGACATACCAAGTACAGAAGACGCAACTTGAGCCTACCGAATTTTGTCGAAAGACATATAAACACTTTCGATAGTACTAACAGTGACTATAAGAAGTCTAGTGGTGAAGATTCTACAAAGAAAAACAACGAGCACGAGGCTAGTAAAGGTTCCAAAAATAAGAAAATTGGAAGACAAATTAATGAAAGTAAGAAATTAGAAACGAATGGAAAGAAAGGAGAGAAGAGTGGAAAAAGCCTTGGAGCTCAAATGAAACTCGAAAATGGTAAAGGAAATGGCAAGACTGAAGGTGATGAACTACTCGGTTTAAGCATGCATATAAAGCATGTACCTCCTTAGGCTGCAGCTGTATAAAGCTCGAAATGAAATGATCGCTAGCAGAAGATGTGATATTAGCCATTATTATCCTTTAAAGCATGTTGGTGTCTTTTTTATTATTCATCTGCAAAATAACTAATGTCATATTGCCTTTCTGTACAGAATTATAAACTCTGTTAGATTAGCGTCAATTTTTATGAACAGAGAGAAGACTGTTGCCTTAATATATTAAGTGTTTAGTGTGGCCATTTTGAGCATCTTTAATGGATGACTTCAAAATGTGCATAGTATTATTATGCCCATTGAAATCCTTGATATAGTCGACGACAATATTTTTTTTTCAATCAGATTCATATACATGTATATATAATAATCAGCAATTTGCCATCTACTTTAATTTTTTTTTGTAGCATTGTTTGCTATAACAGCGTTTTGTTATTTTGCTAGTTTATATCTTATGTTATATTAGCCGTTATTATCCTTGACGGCGGCACTTTACGATTTGGGGCTACGGCCCCGTAGGAAATATACTGCGATGGAAAACTCATGAGTAGAGGATCACAAAAGTCGAAGTTCGTCATCACGGAAGCCTAAAAATTAATATTCTAAACTAATCTAATCGAAACTCAACCAAACTACGCTCGTTAGCATCACATTTCATATCCCAATATTGTCAATTATATAGCATTAGTTTTTTTATGGTAAATAGTCAATCAGTTCTGGGATTTGAACATTGGGCCTACAGCTGTATATGAAGGTGCTAACGATGTGCTACTAAGTTAAAATGAAAGAATGAGTTCAATAAAAACCATAATACAAAACATTTTAAACCTCTGAACACGTTATTTTCGTCATAAGCGACTTTCACCATGATGTTCCTCTACTCATGGTCTATCCAACGATTGACTGGTCATTTTGGTGGGCTAATGTCCTACCAACATCTATTTATGAAAGTTCTTTTTTTTTAAGTACACCTTTTGAACCATTTTAGAAATGCATTATTTTCTGGCATGGCTTAGTTTTATTGTTATTTTGCATGTTTTGCAGTACTCATTGACGATGAAGACAGTCCTGATAACAGTCTCCGTAGGTCTTGTAGCTTGTCAGATTTAAGTTTGCAAGCTCCTTTAACCCCAAAACCTAAAGTTGAAAGAGGTATGTTTTCAAAATTTTCATAAATAAGTCAATTTGCATTCTTCTTTTTTATCTATCATGTTTGCACTCTTTTTGACAATCATACATATAACACATATTATACTAAAGGTGAAAGTGGAATATGATTTTTTCTTTATATTTTGAAATTGCATCCTGTAAAAAAAAGTAATTTCCTAAAATTATAGAAGAATATACGGTTATATTTCATTCAAATGAAGTTATCATGATTATTTATTAAGCTTTCGTTAATAAAAATGGAATGTACCAGAAAATTATAATTTTAACATGAAATGTTCGCTAAATGCAATTAAAAAAGCATTCACTATAAAAATTTAGCAATAAGTTTAACTATTTTGCTTAATGTACTACCTAACACGTGTTTTCTTTTTGTGATAACCACACGTTAGACATTTTATTTTCACATTCACTTATCCATCTTACTTTAATTTAAAAACTTATGCCATGCTCATGCATATGATATATACGTTCACCCTTTCTGTGGCTGTTTCCAAATTTAGAATTAGTGATTAAAACTGATTTACGATTAGCGGCGCAAAATAGTTGTTTATGATATTAAAATATAATTTTCGCTACAATTACTCCCATTCCAGTTTCAGGAAAACTAACAAAAAATCAAAATACAACTACCAGAAGTTCATCTTCATCACGTTACACAAAAAGTAACGCATCAATGATGCGTAGTAGTTCGACAGGGGTTTTAAATCAGTCGGATTCAGAAACGGAATCTAACTTTAGTAAGGTGTCTAACAGGTTGATGCGCCCAACTATAAGCTCCCAAAATAAAGTTTCCAAAGTTAAAAATTCATCAATGCGAAAAAGACAGTCGTATTCCGTCAGTAAGTAGTGTGTTGTGTTGCTACTCCCTTTCTTTGTTGTTTTGTCAAAAAATAGGGTAAATTAAGAAATTCTTTGACATATGCCACAGTCGGATAACAAATGGAGTTAATATTATATTTTAAGAAAATTTTGTAATCCTGAAGTTTTGGTATTTTTTATGTAGGGTGCTTTAGAAATACAGAGAGTGACGGCTGGAATAAATTGACTATTTAAAACTCAAATAACTTATTGGCAATTAAAAATTACTTGAATGTAGACAATTGGACGCCAGTGTTGAACTTTTAAAACGTTGTGTGTAACAATGTGTCCTGGTGTCATTTAGTGAACTTCTGGCTTGATTATTTACTTATTATAATAGTTGGTTGACTGACTTTGAACTTCTTTAATATATACCTCAGTGTCGGTGGACTTACTTCTTCGGTTCAACTGTAGGTACAACCTTTTCAAGTCACTGGGTGAGAGTTGACTTCAGTCGTCAATTTTTCTGTTCTTTGGTTTCCTTGCATACTCAACTAATTATTCATCAATTGCTTGTCAGGGAGAGCATTGTTTTGATCGATTAAGCATCATTCAATTTGATTTTATTAGAAGCTAATAAGTTATTTGACTCGGAAATCACCATTCTATCTATCACCCTCTGTTTTCGTCAGATATGAAATAGAGTGTTCAAGAATGCCGATAAGGTTTTTACGATGATCATAATAAAAAATTATTATCAGGTACCCAAACACCATTTGTTTACCCGACTTGGCTTTTTTGTCATCATGAATCAATTACCAGCTACTTGAAAAATTGATAAACAATTTTAGACCGTCAAAAGTAAATCTAAAAAAGTTAAAATTGAGGAAAATAAGACAATTTTATATATAGTCCTAGTCAGATACATAAATAATATAAATGTGACATTTGTTAAAGAATAAAAAGGTAAAATGAACATTTAGATAGGAAACAATTATATCAAAATGAAGAATCTAGAAGTTATGTATTTTTAACTGTAATTTTTTGCGTTTAAGTTATGTACCATATGTATATTACTTTATTCATTATTGATGGGAGCAAATTAAACGAAATAGAAACTGAGTTTACGTCAGTATACTGCTTTTTGTGTACGTTTTGTTAATCATCACTAACATTTTCACTTTTTCCTTAAATTGTTTCGCAAATTGTCTACTTTCCTTGATTTCCTTTTTAATGTAATTAGCTAGTAATAGTTATTTTTGTCATTTTTATATTTCTAATCATTTGAGAGTATTCACTTATTTTTAATATTGTGGACCTTATGAATCATTTAATTTCTTCAAAAGAAATCTACAATTTATTTTCCCTTTTTAGTGAATTTAAGTAACATAGGTCAGGACGACAGTTCCTCGGAAGAAAACGGTAAGCCAGCTAAACCAGCTGTGCCTTTAAGATCTAGAAGTTTTGTAGCGGAAAAGACACATTTAAGTGCTGCTGCAAGAAGGATACACAACATAAAAGAGAAAAATAAGGGTACGGTAAAATGCATTTCATAGCCGCTAAATGTTTTATTGATACAGTGAGTACTTCTTTTTTCCAGAAAAGAAAAATAAAAACGTTTCGAATGATGACACTTTGACCGCGGAAAGCTTGGATATTGAAAATTTAGATGGCTCAACGATACAATGTAAGTGATTTATTTTAACCATGTACTTACATAAATATTTTTTGCACTCTTTAAATCATAATTGTCTCAATTTAGTAGTTTATTTTTTTAATATCGTCCTTACGAAAATAACTCTGATCATTTATAATCTAAACAGGTTTCAGATGTTTTTTCAGTAAAACTTTTTGTGAAACTATAGCGAGTGTTTTTTCCTTCTTCAGTATTATTTTATAAAAATGTTTAACTAAGTAATCCTCGAAACGTCTATTTCAACTATCGACATTAAAATTTGACTTATATCACAAAATATCTCCAAGAATACTAACGAGATCCTTATACGGTATAGGTGGATAAGTACCATTGAAATAGATTTGCGGCTACCATCATACAAGCGACCACTTTTATTCGGACTTTTATTCTCCAAACGCACTTTATTGGCATTTGTTCAAATTCACTCCCACTTCCTCTTTACAGGTTGTGATGGACACACAAAGATTTGTTAATTTTTTTGCAGTCATTCCACTGCTCTTTAAAAAAGAGGTAGTTGCAATTTTGCATTTGAATTTGTAATGAACCGTGTTTTTTTACAAGTACAAAGATTTGTTGAATTTTTTTGAAGTCATTTCACTGCGCTTTAAAAAAAGGCGAATGGCGATTTGTGCGATGAGCCGTGTTTGTTTACAAGTCCACCTCGGTAGCCCCATTCAATTTTTGTTAATTAAAAACAAAAAGAGTATCCTTCTCTATTCGCCCAGATGTAGCCGACTGCAGTATCTGCTAAATTTTGACCTGAACTTATACCTGGGTGGTTTTAATAATCGTTTATTCTTACTGTTCATAGAAATCCTTTTTTATTTTTAATTACCTTTATTTTCTAAATGACACTTTTTATTTCTAGTATCAGCACAACTTTGCAACGAAGTAGCAGTTGAACTCACAACAGCTGCAAACAACGCAGTTATGCTTTATCGACGTCTTACTGACATCGACTCCAATTCGTCCGATCAAATCAGTAATGCGCAGAAGAGAGATTGGGTGAAAAATCTCGAACTTACGATCGTTCGCACCCAGAAGATGTTCCAAGACCTAACGTTAGAGAAATTTAGAAAGAGCAACCACTTGGATGTGAATCAAGCGGAAACGGTGAAAAAGCTAAACGAGTTAGTGGCCAAAGTGTCCGCAAACGACCAGAACACGGTGGTTACAATAATGCAACAATTTTCAGACATTCTTTTGAATATGTTACAACATAAAATACAGAACTCAACTACTTGACTGTTGCTGGTAAATTGATAATGGCTTTTACTAATTTTCTTTTGTCTGTAGTGTTTTTTATGTACTGTGCTATGCGTCTCACTACAAATGAAACAAAGAGAATCTAAACCATGAAAAAAATTGAATCGATTGACTTTTTAATGGCGTTTAAGTGATGAATATAAGTATTCACAGTATGTGTATACTTTCATGGGAAATTCCTCAAAAACGCACAGTTCTAAATGATTCCATAAAAAATGCTAGCCATAAACTTTAAACTATGTTACTGTTTTTTCATTACCCTTAATAAGTGAATGAGTTTTTAAATTTTAAATTAGAAGAAATATACTAGGCGTAAATTATTTTCATTCGTTAATTATAATTTAAAAAAAAAAAACTAATAACTGTAATGCGTTTTGGTGTGCGTTTTCTCATAAGAAAACGAGAAGTAAAATTAACCATATTGTGTCCTCACGTATTTGAATAACTTAGAACTGAATATTTGTTACAAGTAATCATTCCACTGTATGGCTGTAATTTAACTAATTGGAGTGGTAATGTGTATGCTTGTATATTTATGTTGATAGTACCAGTTATTGTCGGTTCAGAACATAATATTGTAATGCATAGTAAGTGTGAGTGTAGTTTAAATAAGTAAGTAGGTAACGCAAAGCAAATTTTTGCAAAACAAAAACTATTTTTTAAATTATTTATTATTTCATGTGTTTATATAACAAATAACAATTATTTAAGTACGTATAATAAAATCGAAAATATTTTTTATAAATCCAATTTTTATTTACACAAAAAAATAGAACACATCTGTAATCATGCAATTATTTTAAATTTCCAATTTTTCACATCTGCGCCTACATCTAAAAATAGTATCTTACATGCACCTCCATGTCCCATTGCCACCTACCTACCTACCTACCTCTGCCCGTTTCCTCTCTTCCTCCAACTATTTCAATTTTTTAACTCCATCTGCGCCTCCATCATTTCCTACATCTCCATCTCTACTTATATCCTCCTCCACCAACCACCACTCTCTCTGCTTCTACGTTTTACCCTCGTCTACAAACCCTTGTCTCATTCTCTACAATGTCTTCCACGTCCCCTTCATACGTCATCTACTTAATTATCTCTTCACTTCATCAAGACTTTATTTTGAAGTATACCCAACAACTAATATTGCATGTAACACATCAGTGAATCACGTATTTATTATTTTTTTCATACATATATATATTTTTATACAATATTTTTATGGTAGGTATTATATTTTGCAAAAATTTGCACGGGAGAAATCAGTCTTTGTCAAGTTTGTATTTACTTAACAAAACTATCATCAATTGTCGCATGATCTTTAAAGGAAGGCAGAGATAGAAATGATAACTGTAATAATAATATGTAATAAGGTGTCCATAATAAGTATTTTTTGCTCTTGAATGAGTTGTTTTATAAATGGTTATATATATATTGTTATTTTTAAATGTTAAGTTTCATAAATACCCCTGTATGTGTACCTAAAACTAAAAAAGTATTTAACGTTTTGTAAGCCGTTTCCCTCCATAGATTAGCCTTATCGTTAGTTATGGTTTTGTAATTTACGTGTAAAGATTTGTATGTGTAGTCATGCACAAACCATGGACTTTTTTAGTATCATTCATAAGCTTACAGTTCTAGTCCTTTTTAAGTAATCAGTAAAATCAATTATTTGTTTACTTATACAATGATAGAATTTTTATCTTAAATACATTACCCTACTTATGTGTGCGATTATTTTGACATTTGAGTTGTACGTCTAAAGTTTGTATTTCAAAATATGTAATAAAATTACTCCACTTTCATAAAAAAACTTTGTCTATTCATATACCCTAGCTTGATTAACGTGTGGGATAGTTAAGTGTTTTTGTTGAGTCAAAGTTGTCATTCTCGATGTCCCTTTTAAGTTCATCAACATCATAATGGAACAATTTTTTATTTGTTGTCATTCATGCACTTTGTTGTTCACTTCCCCTATAAATGTCAATCTCGGTAGTCTGTTAACACTTAACTTTGTGTATTAGTGAAGAGACACCTAACAGTGATCATATTTTACGGTTTATAAAACACAGTTCCAATATGAACAACTCTGACTAATTAATGTAACAGTTAATACATAATCATCGTCATCGTCATAGTCGTTGGTCCCAAGGCTGGTTAGACACGGACCTTCACTCTTTTCAATCTCAACTCTTTTCACATTCCCCAACAATTAGAACATTTCACATCCTTAAGTATTTGTGAACAGTAATCTAATCTAAGTACACTTCATAACTGTTTCTACTTCTAATATCTCTAACTAGTTCTTCATACCTGAGAAAGTGTCCTACCAACCTATATCGCCTATTATTATATTTAAATTTCAGTTTTTTAATAGCTGTGACTGGTGACTGCCAATCCTAATTAATAATATCGTTTGAACGTGGTTACTGGTTCACATGTATGTAGTTATGTTTACATTGAAGTAGAATGTGTATAATATCTTGAAATACAGTTCTCATCAATCCTCCTGAGGGACGTTTTCGCTAACTAAGATACTGTTGAAAGGTATGTACTAATTTGTATGATCACTTGCCATTACACTAAAATTGATTAAATATTAGAATAATTTGCACAGAAATGTATTACTGTAGGTATGCTCATATTATACGGTATTTTTAGAAATTTATTGAATATTGTCCTCATCTGTACATCCGTATATAAATATAAAAAGTGTAGAACTTCAACGGCTAACAAAGGAATATAACGTTTTCGAATGTGATCATTTACATGCATATACACTAAAGTATTTCTCGAATTCGATATTGTAAGGTGTCTGATTCGTGCTATCATGTTAAAATTTAAAATTATGTTAGTTTATAAATGACGAATCTCTTGTGATTTATGGGTATACGAGAAATATACGATCTCTTGATCTTAATGAGAAAATGAAATTTCAATGGTTCTATAGCCTCTGGCTTGTAGAAGTAATTTAAATATGAGTATAAAATGATATAAACCTGTAACGATAAAAAAATCAGTATCAATTGTCATCTTTTGATGAGACAATTCATTTCGTTATACTTTTAGAAATTTAGTATTTGCATCAAATGCTCTAAAAAGATCTCTCCTGTTAAAATAAATAAATCAACTGTAGTGGACATACACTTTTATCTAGAGTATGCATGTACGTACGGTCAGTCAGTATTCGATAACCTTTCAACTGCACATACACGTCCACTTTTTTTTATCCTGAGCTACAAATACAAGGAGTTGGTTCAATCATTGAAACAAACAAATATTGACATTTAGTTCATCCTTAATTTTTACTTAATCAACAACAAAGTAAAGTAACACTTAAGTGGCGTGACAAGAAAATAGAGCAAGTTCTACTTTAATTGCAGTGGCATGACGTGCTACAAGTTATAACTAGTATATTGCTTGCTACGTTTGTTCAGTGAGTGCTGATTCATTTGCTACTGGTGGTTCAATTTGAAGTAGCATCCTAGATGCAAGCCACTTGCCAGATCTCTCGCCACATCGTACGCCATATTACTTCTGTGGACGCTCCGCTTTTACCCATACGCAAACATGCGTTAAAGAAATTCGTTCCGAAAATGTGTTTGTTTTAGTTACTGTCTCCTCCAGCACGCAGCGCTCTTACTTGAATAGACGAACGCGTAGAAACATGACACGCGGAATTTAAAAAGCATATTGAACTGAACCATACTATAGTAGGTATTAATAAGTAGAGATGCGACGCATAATTCTCGGCAAAACCACTACGGTTAATGGTTCACGTCTTCGTTTTATCGGGCTTTCTATTAAATACCACCCTCACCAATGTTCCGAGGAAATCATTAAGGCCAGTTCCCGGCGCCATTATCCGGATCCAAACCGGGTGCTCGACATATCTGCATGCTTCGTTTACTTTCTGTAGCGACGTGACCTTCACTTTGACCGGCGCAAAGTAGAAAAGAGCAGCACTAGGCCAGAAAAGTAAGGAGACAACTCTCGGCCAAGCTCTTAACCGGTAAGGAGCGTATAATCCGTACAGTACTGCACGGAAAAATTGATCATTTTGTCCACTACAATTGCATTGCTCAAATGTGCTGTTATTGGTACCATTTATCACTGAAAATATCAACGAGATGTTTATTTATATTTGAATACATATTAAAGGCTTTAACGCTTGTTTTAGACTCGCACTACTATTCATGATTGAACAAAACTTTTGGCAGGTAATGTAGGAAAAAGTATGTTTAATGAACAAGAGTCGAGAGTATAATGAGCTTTTTTCTCCCTACCTACGATTTTGCCAGCGCGCATCCAAGACATTGAAAGGGACTCATCGCTAGAGAAAGTAAATGATGTATACTAACAAGATTTGTCCAAAATTAAAAAGGAACTTCTTTTCTTAAAAACTAAATAATCCAAGACAAAGCACCATATCCCTAAATCTCATTAGGAATAATAAAACCAGTATATTTTTGCAGTTGTTTATTTTGTAATCAAAATATAATTATAACCCTCAAAGATAAGCTGACACATTTTCTAATTTGAAAACAATTTAAAAGACACACTGATGATATAATAAGAAAGCCAAAAACAACGTGTATATGTATTTAGCGATAATTTTTGCCCTTGTTTCTGCATTCATGAAGTGGATTGTAGGTGATGGGGGCAAAAATATCACCGCCGACATTCGGATTTCGCTGACGTGGATTAGTAGAACAATCACAGCAAATATATTTACACGTATGATCAAACACGTAAATGAATAGCGAGTATGCCACGGTGTTAGTAAAAAAAAATAAAATAACTTAGCAGTCTTTTAGTATTCTAATGTCCCTTAAACATAACACAACTTAACTCCTTAACAACTTAATCGGTACAACTATTTACATTAATTTACATTGGTAATTATAATTTGTTTTCTTCAATATAGCTGCACTTTGAAAATAATTATATATTTTGTGGACATTAAATAAATTATTTTATATTATAAATATCCTAATGTTTTAATTACTGTTATGTACAAGAGAAAAAGTGATTGACTACATAAAAATTATGCAAAAATACACTACAATTAGGTAAATCGGTATTATACATACCATCCTAAAACCGTTTCGAAAACGATTTTATTAATAATAGTAGCTCTCTCTTTCTTTTCCTCTCTCTTTCTTTCACATATTTAAAACTATTTACAATGTTGAACGTGTTATTTCTGTGTCAATCCCAGTATACATTCTTAATTTTTAATACAATATAAAACAATGTGCAGAGTGACGTAATTATACAAAAATAACGTTAAGCTCTCCTTCAATTCATGCCATTCTCTACCAAATCGTTACGACATTTTGACCATTTTCATTTAAGTCATTTCCTATTAATTTTGATTAAAACATTATACAAAACTGCATTACTATAGGATTGATAAAAAAGTCTAGAAAAACTTCGAAAACGAGTTTCAAAGTTTAGTTAAAATATATCGAATTTCGAAAAAATTACCCTTAATGTTGAAAGAATATTTTATGATTAATATATACTAAAATTATAAATACTAAATTTAATTTAGTTTTTCTTTTATTTCATTAAATTTGTAGATGATAAGTTGATAAGTAAGTACATACCGATTTGGTAATGGCCCAGGGTGTTATTTCTAAACTACACTATAATATGCTAAGAGGCAAATTTTACTTAAGTCGGCAAGTAAACAACGAACTTGGGACTTATTGGCTCATAAATAACCAAAATTAGCGACACAACGTAATAGTTGAATCGAAGTTCAATCTCTTTCTACTTTATAACCTTGAACAAGTTGCTCCGAAACTTTAACCTAAACCTATTGATTATATCGTAATCGGCCCAAAATCAGTATAAATATGAAAAAAAATTAAAATTGTGTATCAATAGTCAAATAAAGCTATACCACGATGTTGTTGCAATTGGGGACCTAAATGTAAAAAGCAAAAGATTTGTTCACAAGAGGGGTAAAATATTGAATTTAAATTACAGCTGCCCCAAATAAATATGTACATTCAAAATGCATTTCTTAGATATTAAAGCAATTCAGCGAATAATTTTGAAGACAAAAACGAGCTGCAAAGGTATATGTAAAAAATTCTGCTACGTTTAAAATCACTGTTATTACAAAAAAAATATCGATCAAATGAATAATTTTTTTCTTTCAGAGCTGCTTTAATAAAATGCTAAAGGTCCCTGCAATCTCTTCCACTTTGTCACTTATGTAATATATATGGATATAAATTAATGTTAATATTAATGTGTAGAAATAAAACTGTCCTTTAGGAATTCGTTGTAACTTTAGTTTTATATTATTAATATTAATATTACTATTATGTATGCGTCAATAACAGTTAATAAAATTTCTTTTGTTCCCAAACGAAGTATGTATTTATATGGATTCAAATAGCTACAAATGCCATGGAGAAGATTATCAAGTGATCCAGCTGTTTTCACAATAAAAGAACAAAGAACTATTATTTATGTAGGATTTTGTACTTAACTTATGAGAATATTTGATTAATAAACGCAGATTTCTTGTTTTTGTATATATTTTTAGACAATCGTCTTTCAGGAGTAAACTCCAGTCACGTGTTTAGGCTGTAAGCTGTTAGGCGGTACCAATTAAAGAAATAAATTTTTTTTGCAATAAGGTTGTTTTTTAGTCCTGCCAAGAACCAAAAATTCTTTTTAAAATTTCATACGACGATAAAATTAAAAACCATCAGTTACCTGATAAACAAATTAAAATTACCTACATATAAAAATGACCGACGAATCGTTTTATGTAGTAATTAAATTAATTTCGTATTACCTTTGACCACGAGTTTTGGTAAAAATATTTCTACTATTTTACGCTTTTTAAAGTAAGCCCTTATTTATTTCAATATAGAAGGTGATACATTGAATAAATTGGCGATCTAAAAGTAGAATAAATCAATCAAAACAACGTTCGTTAATATAGAAGAACAGACCTGAAGATTGAAGGCCGAAGTCAAGTCACTCACTTTCATCCAACGACTCTCATTGCTTTTCAGACATTTTTTCATCCACCTCCCCTCACGATATGGTCTATCATTGTTTTATTCTTGGCCCACCCCCCCTACAATAACGTAACCTTTTTAACAATTCTGAAATTCGATAAATGTAGGATTTAGCGATTCTTGTAAACTGTCTATCATAGGAAATACATTATTAAATTATATTATTAATAAATACTACTTTGCTTAATCCCCACCGCCCAAGCATGCGATTCAGAATAGCCGTGCCTCATATGCTTATATACAGCCCATTATGCGGAAACGTTTCAAAGGTAACATCCCACAGTTTCAATTATCAATTCCATGTCGAAGAGAGTATTGTCTTTTGATCGACTTGGTGTCATATAATGTAAACTATGATTAAAAACTAAGGAAAGCTGTAAAAATGGACTTTTTGATGGCTACAGACTAACAACTGGATCACTTAAATAAAAATAGCTGCAGTTAGGTACCTTCTGAACCCGTTTCACCCCGATCACACATCTGCCGACCTGTCAATGGCTGAAATTACATACGTACATAATTCGATAAAAATACTGTGTGTTTAAAAACGTGTTATTACACCCTCAAATTGACTACAAATTCTCATCTTAAGTAAACCCACTCGGAACGAGGGCGTCGATTCGGTCAAAAAACTCTAAGATATAAATTTAAAAATAGAAAATTAAAATTTACAAACAGCACCACCGACGATCACTATACACCCTCATTTCGAGTGACGGTTTCTACCCCCAAAAAGAATAGAAAAGAAACCGACAAGCTTTATACGCTTGTCGATTTCGTGCCCTTATCGATTGATTCTTAATATCAATTCACTAGAAAAGTCTTTGATCCATTTAATAAATAACGCGCTTAAAACTTGTTTTTAACACAGAAGTTGGCGGAGCTTCGTATTCATCATCTTGCAAAAAATGTTATTACTAAGAGCAAGGTGACGATAACCGACAAAGATGGCAACGCTAGTGAACCAGAGTCTGTGCTATTGGATTCACATGTACCTGCAAAAAAAATATGTATAAATATTGAAGCCACATCAACATTATCTATTTACAGTAATGTTAATAAATAATAAATCCTATATACCAATTTTTAGTCAAAATTAAAAATACTTAAAATTCCTGTTCAGTACCAGATGTAAATCGCGATTTTGAACTTCAGTGTATTTGCTAGTTTACAGTGTATCAAACTCTGCTAAAGTTATAACCGAAATTATTGTTATATGTAGGTACACTACAAATTATGGCACCATCATCATAAGGTCGAAAGTCCATAAACTGATGGTTGGACACGTATCTCCACTCTTTCCTATCCTTAGCTAATCTTCACAGTTCCCTAAAACTAGAACAACCCAGATCCTCAACTATTTGCGAACAGTAATCTAATCTAGGTCTAGCTCTACCCCTCCTAACTCCCGTTTGTGCCTCTAATATGTCTCTGACTAGACCTTCATGTCTGAGAAGGTGTCCTACTAACCTATCTGGCTTATTTTTTATTGACTTCCATAGAGTCCTCTGTTCTCCTATTGTTAACCATCGACCTTCAAAGAATTTTGGTACCCATGCATCGGGCCATGTGACTTTATGGACTTTCAATTTTGCCAAACATGCTTTATCTATGTTGGACCAATATTGGATAAATATTCTATATAAATAAGGAAAAAGTACATCCCTTATATATATATTACCAATATTGGGTAAATATTACATATCAATATAAATAAAAGTTATTGCCAAATATCTTTTATTAATATTGGATCAATATCGGATAAACATGGTATTAAAATATAGGAAGATAGCACATCTCCTATATATTACCAATATTGGCTAACGGTTAGTTAGGTTGCAATTTCTAGGCGATTCAAAAGTTAACCATCAATCTTCCAAGAATTTTGGTACCCAAGCGCCGGGCAAAGTGTCTTTATATGGACTTTCAATTTTGCCAAACATGTTTTATCTATGTTGGATCAATATTGGATAAATATTCTATATAAATAAAAGAAAAAGTACATCCCTTATATATATTACCAATATTGGATAAATATTGCATATCAATATAAATAAAAGTTATTGCCAAATATCTTCTATTAATATTGGATCAATATCGGATAAACATTGTATTAAAATATAGGAAGAAGGTACATCTCCAATATATTACCAATATTAGCTAACGGTTAGTTTACGTTAGGTTGCAATTTCTAGGCGACCTAAAAGTTAACCATCAATCTTCCAAGAATTTTGGTACCCAAGCGCCGGGCAAAGTGTCTTTATATGGACTCAATTTTGTCAAAGATGTTTTTTCAATGTTGGGTCAGTATTG